ATTAACTTTTTATGTTCATATAATATAAATATCATACATCATATAATATATGATAATATTATAATAATATATTATATATATATTAATAATATATTTTATATATATAATAATATATTATATAACTTACATATAGTTACTGTAAATATGTATATGTATATGCATGCGTATGTATAACTTCAATAAAAATATTATCCTTCATAAAAAAATGTTTCTTATATTGTAAAATAAAATTATTACAAATCAGATTAAATTTTTTTAATATTTGTAATTTTTTCTTCTGTGCAAAATCGCAGCTATTAATTATATTATATTATGTATATATGCAACACATTCACTTTCACTTTGTAATACTAGATGCATCTGTTTCTTTCTCTCTATAGTTTAAGTCAACATTAGCAAGAACAATTAATGCTATTTTGATTAAAAAGTGACATTCGTTGCTCTTGCTGCATAATTTGTTAATAGAATATGTTTTCATTAATTCTTTATAAACAATGTCTTCATTTTAAAAAACAAACAATATAAAATGTTTTTGACTCACAGAGTCTGCTTTAGTATATGTAATTAAGCGTTGTATGAACAAAAGAAATAATGATAGAATGCTTTTAAATATGAGAACGTGTTAAAAAAAAAACGCCCAACAAGAAGAGAACTCATAACCTACACGGAACATAACGTCCATTAGAGATCCGCATAACCTTCACAGCCTCCATGCGACATCTATCTCCATGATGGAAGTCAGATGAATCTTTAATGGAGGTCCATGTTACTTCCATGATGGAGCTCCAATGGAGCTTTATTAGACCTCCATTAGATGTCTATGTATACGTTTCATGGAGTGGAGTCTATGTACACATTGTATGGATAAATTACGGATGTTTTATGAAACTTTCATGGATTATATATATCCAGATAACCAAGCGTGCGACTTTCGCACAAAGTATCGGTATCATACTGTTACTGTACTGCCACGAGATGGCGGGGTATGGCGTAACTGTACAGTAGTAGTACAAAAAGTGTACATGATATTACAGTACAGTGTATCGTCATAGTACCTGTAATGCATATTGTTCGGTACATATTGCATACTTAGGAAATGTATCGTACCAATACGACATACACCTGAATACCGTACATGAAACACCGATAAAATTATTAAATTTGATTATATTTTTAACTTTTCTGAGTGTATTTTGTAAATTTGCCTATGCTTTATTGTGAGTTATTTGTATATATGTATGACAAATTATAGTTTTTTTTATAGATATAATTAATATATTATAATTTTATTTTAGTCATGCGACCATTTATCAGCTAACCATTTTTTTGTATAACGGGTATTTTTTGTAATAACTAAATAATAGAAATAAATGTTATGATTTACAAATATACCAATGTTACGTTTACATATTAATAAATTTCTTAATTATATTTGCAAAATATGGTTATTTTATAATTGTAATGCGCATGCGTATTCACTACGCGTAATTCTTCGACGCGCTCTTTAATAGGAGCTCCGAGTACATCTTTGCGCATGCACAGATTTAATTTCTGTCAGCTATGTTTCATATAAGTTATGACATAGTGAAATGGACTGAAACCTAAAATAAACCTATAAATATACATAATTAATTAATTAAATAACTTTTTATTAAATTATTCTAATTTAATATTAATTTAACAATGATAATATTTATTTTTTAAATGATATAATGAGAGTTTGAGTTGCGATGCTGTTTTCATCAGAATTTATCTCAGAATGGATTTTATTTCTATTTTTTGGCGCGCAAACGGCGCAACAAGCGAGATATCACGTTGTCAATTGGCCAGTTACATACTAAAATCTTCTGATTGGTTAACTGTACTGATTGCTTAAGTCGCAGTATCGTGCGATGTGTGCATCAGGCTTAATTAGTCTCTCCCAGCGCGGCGATTTTGTTTTGTCATTCTTCTCGATGCATTTTCTTATATGGACGTGTTTCTCTTACTCTTGTAATTTTTCGAGTTATTATTTCAAAGAAATACGTCAGAATAAAGAGTAAAAAGTCATTTACATCCACTATCTGAGGTAAGTAAATTTTTCATATAACAGTTAATTCGATAATATTAATTTTATCTTTCTTTGGATTTAGCTCGGCATCGTTTAAACCGTTGGGTTTAACCGTTAACGTAGTTTAAAACTCGATGTGAAATCTGTGATTAAAGCTATGAAAGCAAAAGAAGAAGTAATCTATATATTCTTATAAATAAGTAACTTTTTTTCTCTAAAATTCGCAATGTATGAGTGCATGTTGCGTTTGTTTCTTTCACTTTCATAGTTTCAAGCACGGATTTTAAATCCTCCTCAGAAACTTGTCACTTATTTCTTTTTCAATACTATTTTTTCAATACTTACTTTTCAATACTAAAATGCTAATTGCAATGCTTTCGAATTCACGTATGATTACAAAATAGTGCCCTTGTCTCTTATAGATTACTTTTCCCATCAAATATTTTTTGATCGCATATACAATATTCAATAATATGTATGAATATATATGAATATCGAATTATCCATACAAAAGAAACGAACGGATATTTTTCATTGAACATCCTCACTGAATTTTTTGTCTGACCAAAATGATCGTCAATATTCCTTTGGAACTTTTTGAAAAGATCCTTTCTCTTTTTGGAAAAAAACTGTAAAAACTAAAAAAAACTTTTTTCTATAGAATTTTCCATTAATTTATAATTTTTTAATTATTTTTATTTTAAATTTTTTAATAATAAAAATTTAATTATTTTAATTTTTAATTATTTATTTTAAACATTTTATTTTAATTTTTTTACCTAATTGTAAAATAATTTAATTTGGAAAAATATTTATTTTTTTTGTTCTAAAACTAAATAAAATTAAATATCTTAAATATTTTGTCTCTTATTTCTTGTATAATAATAATTTTAGCATATTATTTACATGGAATCTCAAGATTCTCGTCTTTTTTAAAAGAATTTTTTTATTCTAATCCACTCATTAAGAAGAGAATGGGATAGAATGAAAAGGAAGGAAAGATTAAATAGACATACTTAAAAAATGAACAAAATTTTTCTTTGCATTTTTATTATTCATATGCTTATTTTTATTATACTCGAGAAATACCCGATTTTTTATGTTACGATGTCCATTTTGCGTCAATATGGTTTTTATTTTAGGCAAACGTTATATTTCTACCATAATAGCAAATATTTTTTTCTGCGTATTGTAATAGTAATTTTTCAACATTTTTCATTCTGATTATTTTTCATCTTCTATTGTATAGATTTAACAAATTATACTTTCGTTAATTGCGTGTGGATCTTCTGTGCATTTTTCTCATTAACTTAAAGATTTTTCTTCAAAATTTGATTTTATTGTTCAATCTAACGTTGCTGCAAGAGTTCTTTAACTTTCTTTTCATTTCTTTTTCTAAATTTTAATTTATAATACTGAAGACATGTTTAATTCTTATCATCATTCATTGGCTATAATTTTGTTTTTAATGAATATTATCCTTTCATTTTTGAATCATTAATAAAGAATTCTTTGTTTAAATCAATTAATTTCGATTCACGGTTTATTTTATCAAGATCCAATTAGAATATCAGTTTTGCTAATTATCTGCAGAGACAATTGGCGAACAAATTAATGTGTTTATTTAATTATATATATATTCATACTTCACACAATTTTATTCTTAATTCACAGGTCAGATTGCTGAGATAATTGCAACAGACAAGGTAATAATTAGTTGCAAGTATTATATTTATCTTGTTTTTATTTATTGAGTATATATAATTGCTTTCCAATAGATTTTTGATATTATTTTCTTCATTACTTGCAAGCACATTACATAATACATAATTTAATTCTTACGTTAATACATAATTTCATTAATAATACTTTAAGGTGTGTGTGAAGTCGGCGTCTCATTTCGCGGAAACTCACAAATTATTGAGAGTTCTGACTTCCTTTCGAATAGTTCTAGAGTTTCTGATAAATTAAACAAATAGTTCTGCTCATTAAAGCGAAAAAATCGGTTCGGACAAAGTGAGACGCCAGGTTCACGTCGCGTCTCACTTTGTCTTAAATAAGTTCCGATGTCTACCGATGCAAGATTTTGAAAGATTTATAGTTCTATAAGAGTTCTATAAAGAGTTCTGTCAAATTAAAGCAAAAAAATTATTTAAACATAAATACAGAATAATTATTAATGTAATAACAGATCGAGCTAAACTGATATTTATTTATTTAACAATCGTTCGTTATTATAATTGCCCGGAACTTTTTAGAAAATGTTTCTTTATGTTAAGAACTATATGAAAAGTATAATTTTTAAGCCAGAACTCCGAAATAATGGCCAGCGTCTCATATCTATGTGTCTAAGTACGTTACGCTCGGGTAATATTTATTTATTTAACAATCGTACGTTATCGCAATTGCCCGGAACTCTTTAAAAAATGCTTTTGCATGTTGAGAACTATACGAAAAATATAATTTTTAAGCCAAAACTCCGAGTTGTTTGTTTGTAGTTTAGCTCGATCTGTTATTACATTAATAATTACTCTGTATTTATGTTTAAATAATTTTTTTTGCTTTAATTTGACAGAACTCTTATAGAACTATAAATCTTTCAAAATCTTGCATCGGCGAACATCGGAACTTATTTAGGACAAAGTGAGACGCGGCGTGAACCTGGCGTCTCACTTTGTCCGAACCGATTTTTTTCGCTTTAATGAGCAGAACTATTTGTTTAATTTATCAGGAACTCTAGAACTATTTGAAAGGAAGTCAGAACTCTCAATAATTTGTAAGTTTCCGCGAAATGAGACGCCAACTTCACACACACTACTTTTAGATTTCATTACATATTATTGAATTTTGAAGTTGAAGAAACTTGTGTTTTTTTTTACATTTTTTTACACTTTTTTGTTTACATTTTTCCATTTCAGATTTAATTTATTCTTTCTCGAGTTATTTTTTCATTTCCTTTTTTTCGTTTATATTTTGCTTCATCGATATGTTGCGTTTGGCGAACAGGCGCAGTCGCAAGCCTTATCATCTACTGTCTGCAGTCCATCGTCGTCGTTTGGAAAAATTAGAGAGAGCTGCGCATAATGAATCAACAGCAGAATTTAAATTTTGCTAATGTTAGAGTTGATTCAGACTTCGTCGACAAAGGTCAAATTCTTGCGGAATGCAGTCAGATAAAAAAAGATAAAACTTTTGTATCTTCTGATGCATCAGCTGAGGATGTGCAATTGCTTTTAATGATGAGGCATTAAGTTCTTCAGATGTTGCTGAATCCATTTTAGATTGTAATGATGTGATAGATTTTGAGCCTCAAAATACTATTGATAATTTTCAAGAACGTCTTGCTGAAGTTTTCGTACGCAGTAATATGTCTCATACGCAAATAAATGTTCTTTTACAGGTTGTCCGAACACATTCTTGTTTATCCACGTTGCCAAAGGATTGTAGAACGTTTTTGAAAACTCCAAGGATGGCGCATCCCATACTTAACATTGCAGGAGGAGAATATCTCCATTTAGGATTTGAGGCAGGAATTCTTTCCATTCTTCAACAAACCTCTCCGGAACTAATTCCACTTGATACTTTGATGGTAGACTTTAGCACTAATGATGCCATACTGAATAGACAGGGCAAAATTCAAATGTGGCCGATACAAATTAGGATTGCAAATATTCCTCGAAGTAAACCTACAATTGTAAGCGTTTGGCGAGATTCATCGAAACCAACTAACGCGGAGGAATTATTTCAATTATGGATGATTCTTTTATGGATGAAGTTCGAGATATATTAAATCGTGGAGGAATTATTTTTCATAATCAACAAAAACTGATTAAATTGAGGTGTTTTATAGCTGATTTTCCTGCGCGGGCTTTTGTTTTATCATGTTTTGTCATAAAGGTCACGGTAATCTATTTCCGTGTTCGAAATGTTGGATTCGAGGAAGTTGGCTTCGTCATGGAGTAGTTGCTTATCGTGGTATTCAAAATAGACCTCGTATAAATGAAGAGTACAAACATCACATTGATGGAGAACATCATACAGATTTTGATTCTGCTTTGTTTCCTTTAGGGATGGGGTTGGTAACTCAAACAGTCTTCGACTACATGCACATAGTTTGTCTTGGTGTCGTTCCCAAAATAAATAGCGTTCTTGTCGATGGTAAATGTAATCCAAATTTAAAACTTTCAGTCAGATCACTTGAAATTATGACGAAACGTTTGTAGCAAGTTAAAAATTATTGTCCTAAGGAATTTTCGTGAAAACCGCAATTAATGAAAAAATATGGAGGATTTAAGGCCACGGAAAATCGTCAACTTCTTTTGTATACTGCCGCAGTTATTTATTACGGACTCGTAAAACCTGTTGTGTACAAACATTTTCTTCTATTACATTCCGCCATTCGAGTTCTAGTCAGTTCTTCCTTATCGTCTTGATTTTGCACAAATAACATTAAACATTTTTGTGAATAGAGCAGAAGACATATATGATCCAGAATTTCTTTCATACATTATTCATTGTTTTTACATCTCGTAGATGACGTGAGACGCTTTTGGCATTAAATGAATTGTTTATGTTTCCATATGAAAATAATATGATGTATTTTCGCAATGCTTGCCACAAACCTCATCAACATTTGCAGCAAATCGTAAATAGACGACATCAAAAGAAAACACAAAATATTGTAAATATAACTGAGGAAGTGGTGCGCTCCAGTAGGCCCTGGATTAGTCTTGTACTTTTTGATGCTCCATTAGATAATCGTCAGTTTCAAATCTTAGATACAGGAAAATTTCGTTTATCGGTGAAGGATCAGGATAACATGATAATATACAAAATTCAAAGGTTTGTCTTATTCAGAGTATCATTCTCTCGCATGATCATTATCAGTTGGCGATTAAAGAATTTCGTAGAGTTGAATATTTTTTCGAAGTTGGTTTGTCATCGTCATCAGTAAGTATGTTTCGATGTTCTTTATTATCTGATAAAGTTATTATTATAGATCTTAGTGAAGTGCGAAGTAAGTGTTTTCGCATGCACACTTATTGACACTAAAGGCCATATAGATCCTATTATTGATGTTTGGATAGTTGCAATCATTCTACATACTATGGTTTAGAATAGCTTTCATTACGTGAATTTTCTTTAAGACTTTCCACACAAGCTTTTCCGTAACGCGTAACGTACGTAAAATACTAATGATAAACCTGTACATGAACTTGAATTTCAATCAAAGCACAAACAAAAACGGTATGTAATATCATGTGTTATGATTTTCTTTGTGCATTGATTAAAGTTTAAGTTTATGTACAGGTTTAGTTTATGGTCAGTATAAGTAATGTTATGCATTACGGAAGTATTCTCATGAAGGGTCTAATTTTTGTTAAGATGAGTCAACGAGGACGAGGAAGAGGAAAAGAAGCGGACGAGACATTCAAAACGTTGCAATTGTTAGATAAAGATATTGAAAAATATTCCACATCTCAAAAAAGACACATATAAGGACATATAAACACACCCAAGACTACACAAAACCAGACAGCACCATTATCACAATATTCACAACATTCACAATCGTCACCATTCTTATATGTTCCATCATTATTATCATCATCATCATCATTATGTAAAGAATTATATAAACACATGTCCTCTTCATCAGCACCAAAACATAAACTCATCTTGTCACACTCGCCTTCAGTAGCCACTCAATCATTTGCACGAAACATTCCTTCAACAACCTTCAAAACAACTACTACAACACAAACAAACATTCACGCTCGCCTTTACCATCCAAACAATCATTCACACAAAACATTCATTCATCATCAAAACCATCACATCATAAACAAACAGCGCTATTACAACATAAACCCATCTTATCACATTCACTTTCAGCCACTCAATCATTCACATACAACATTTATCCATCATCAAAAAAACTACTATTATAACGCAGCAAACATTATCACGTTCGCCTTCACCATCCAAACAATCATTCACACAAAACATTCATCCATCATCAAATACATCACAACATAAACAAGTAGCATCAGCATCTGCAGAACGCAATCGCTTATCACCAAGTAGACAAAGACATGAAGAAGACTGGACAAAAGAGGAAGGAACATCCCATGATATAATGCGGTCTTTAAAGTAAGTTTCAAATGATACAACAAAGATAGTCGTTGCACGAATAAAGACATTAAATTTTATTTCAGAATGATTATGGTTCAACTACGTCGTATGGAAAAACGACAAATTTTTATTGAAAATAAAATCGAGTAAGTATTAATGATTTATTATACTGTAAATTAATTTTTAATTCCATAATTTCATTTTTTCTTGCAGTAAAAATGCGAAAATCATTAAACGATTATTGTGACAGTCTGTAATAAAAAGATCAGTGAAACCACCAGGATTTATTTACAACGATAGACGATTTCTTGGTCTTCGAAGAAGTTGATGATGAAATTTATAATGATTTGGTAATAATTTTTTTAAATATAAATATTATCTTATCTAAATATTTACAATAATTCAATTTATTATAAAAATTTTGTATTAGGTGGAATACTTTATTTACCTTGGACGGACCAATCCAATTGATTGCGCTGCAGAATATTTTCGCAGTGTATTTCCAGAAGATGAAGAGATTTCATCACACCTTACCTTAAATGAAAAAAGTGGAACAGGGGGATATAAACTGCGAGGCAGTCACTTCGCACAAGCATATCAAGGTTTGTAAAAAATATTATCAGTGTTAATTATATTCTGTATTGATTACATTTACGTCAAACTTAATTGAGTATTGATTTAGTAACATTCTGAGATTTCTAGCTTCATGGACACAAAGCTTAAAAAATGGAACGGCTGTCATTGATCAGAACTTAGAACAACGGATGTTATTAAATTTAATTAAGAAACATGTAAACATAATCATTAAATACATGATACGATAACTAACAAAAGTGTTTCTTATCGATTTTTCTAGATGCCATAAACTCTAACAAACATTTCCTCAATCCCAACAATGTCGAATTCCATGAAGCGCTGGAAAAGATTCTGAAAAGTCTCAAAACCAGGAAATAATAAATTTATAATAAAAAACGACGTTATAATAAAAAACGACAATTACAAAATGAAGAAGTCCAAAACCCACCAAATCGATGCCGGCGATTAGACAATGAAGATGTCTATATTTTTTCTTCTTACTAATTGTACTAGTTCAGAATTTACCTTCTTCCAATGTGGAGGGAAAAAAAATAAACTCTGAACCAATGCCAGTTTAGTTAAAAAGATTTATGTACAGGAAACTACAGGATTCAAAGACACGGAAACCGAACACAAATTGAAGGAAATGGAAAACACGGAGGAAACTGAGAAGACTGACGAAATGAACATTCAGCTCTTGTAAGAAAATTTTTTATTTTTCTAGAAATTTTATAAATTTAAAAAATTTTTTAAGAAATTCTGAAAATTTTTATTTTTTTCAGAGAGGACAACATCAAGAGTACATGAATAAAGAGGATACTGACGAAACCGAGGACAACATGAACGACGACAAGATTCAAAAGATGGCACAGGACGAAAATTTACCGATACTACAAGAGAAGGAAGAAAGTACGGATT